TCGTACGCAGGCCTTGATTACCCTTGTCCTTCTCCTTGGCTCTCAGAAATACATTCTACAGAAGCCCATATGTAACAGAAAAATCCCGAAGTATGGAATTGCCTCCTACTTTTTTATGCTTTTTGCTTCACTTTGAAATTTCCCTGAAGGAAGCTATGCCTTCTTCTGCCTCCTTTTGGATAGAAAGTCCCTTTGTACCATCCTGATTTTGCCACTGTTTTTTTCCTTTTTTAATTGAAAAGTTTGTTTTGGAGTTGTTTCTCCATCCCTGGCAGTTGTTCCCCTGGAATTGTTCGTTTTCACATGATTCGCCTGCCTGTGTTCTGTCTGTGTGGTGAACACCAGCAGAGTGCTGCTTGCTGATAACCATACATGCCAATAACCATACATCTGTCACTTGCCTCGTGCCACTGCAACCCTCCCAAACTCATTGACAATTCATCGCTGTAGCAGCTCAAAATGTGATGTGTATAATGGGTGTAAGGTTGCTGTTTTGGCGTGGCAGCTCAGCATCCTTGTGTCTGACATCCAGCTGAGGCTGGACACCTGGAAGGTGCTTTCAGTTCACCTGTCACTGAACTGCACGCGCCGCTGGAGTGGGCATGGGGGGTTTTGCACAACTCCGTCTGACCTGGACGAAGCCCTGGGCAGGGCTGGCTCCATTGCTGGTTATTTGCTTGTTTGCTTGTCCTGTAACAATGTGGGAAGCTCCTGAATGGAGAACGGCTCTTTAAATCACAGGACTGTCAGTGGCCGCAAACATCTGCTGATACGGGACGTGTAATCTCTCCTCTCAGACCTTGACATTGCTGCCTAATCTCTGCTATTTGTGACTACATTTTTTTTCCAGGAGTTATGTAAAATCCACCATGGGAAGGAATCACTGTGCATTTCTCATTTGAATGCATAAATTGAACAAATACACGTATGTATACGTCAGACCACAGGGTGAGCTAGTGGAAAGGTTACTGCAAGCTCTGGGAAAGCCAAATGGACCCATATATTAGTGCATGGGATGGAGCTGTTGAGTTTTCAGGTGGTATGATAATGAAAAGTAGATGTGCTTGGAGTCTGGGCAGCCCTGGTGGTGACACCCACCAGCACCCTGTGTGTGCCTGAAGGACTATACACACAGAGCCGTAATTGCTCTCTATTACCGTGCTCGTTGTTTTGGAACAGAGAACTTTTCTGTACTGGATCAAAGAGCTGCCTTTGATTAATCAGTTTGGAAATGAAAGAATTTCAAGTTCTCATTTTTTTTCCTTTTTTTTAAGGGGACATATTTCAAAAGCCTTTTGATCTTTGGTGCTAGGTATTTAGTGCAAGGCAGGTATGATTTTACAAAAAGAACCACAGCAGTCTTGTTGTAAAGGTTGACTTATTTAAAGCCCTGATCAGAAAACACTGAAAACACATGTTCAGCAGGTCCTTCAATTTCAGTAGGTCTGTGCACACTTAGGGGGTTGTTCTTGTGCTCATTCTTTAGCAGGATCACCAGTTCTAAAAAGTAAAATCAGGCCACTGGTCTGTGGAAAACAAAAAAGGTAACGTCTACCATAAAGGTCAGAAAATATTTACGTGGCATCTTACACTAACAGAATGCAGGCAGCACAAATCTTTACAAATAGGCATCCTGCTGGTACCGATTGAAATGTAGGAGGCAGTTACTCTCTCTCAATTGTAAGTGCCATTTGATCCCCAGGGAGGCATTTAATGGATGATATTTCCCTACTGTGAGTCCTGTCTTTTCTTTCTGTACCTCGTCAGTAATAGGTGAGGGTCCTCCTGTTCATCAAAAATGTATGTGCTGCTTACCTGATTTCTCACAGACTGCCTTATGAGAAAGGATGTCACTCCTACAGAACTAAATGCAATTCTTTACCTTTAATTACATGCTGCCTTCCTGTCTGCAAGAAGGTTTTCCCTACTGCTTATCACCAAGCCCAAAGAAAGGAAAGAACAGAACAGAGAGAAGAGAATAAAAGCAGAATAAAATAATAGCTATTTGCAAATCCACTTGCCTCTGAAAGTTTCCCCTCCCGATCCAAGCTGTGTGGCCTGGATCGGTCTTGAGGGTACTTCAGAAAGCAACTCCTATCTGTGATGAGACGTGGATGGGAAATGGATGCCTCACTCCTTCTGTGGGGGTGGACCTGTGATATGAAACACTTGTGTTACTGAGTATGAATAATTTTATCCACAAGTGAAATCTTGCAGTTGTTTGACAGGGTTCAGCAACACTGTTCTACTGCTGTTAAAGAGAGAAAAATCACAAGAAAGAGCCAAAATATCACAGGTAGAGCTACCTGGAATAATTTAGACTTGAAACTCAAGCTTGAACAAAAACTCAAGTCTTTCCCTGGCAGCTCAGGGGCTGACACTCACTTTCTAATACTGTTGTAGCCAACAGCTCTCCTATTTTCCTCTAATTTTTCCACTCAGATTTACTCTATTATAACCTTGATTAACTCCACAAATGCATACATTATTTAGTAACAGAAATGCCTTACTTTAAATACGGTAAGACACTACACCATGCAGATACAGAGCCTCCCAGGAGCTGCCAGGTGCTGCTGGGGAGCGGAGCAGAGCAACCTTGCCTTTGTGACTGCAGCAGCCAGTACAGGACAGTGGGGAACTCGCTGCACCCTCCGTCCTAAACCTCCTCAGGCAGTGAGGAACCTGCTGCACCCTCCATCCTAAGATGGAGCCCTTCTTGTCCGCCGTGACCTGTGCAAACGCACTGGATTCAAGTGTGATCACAAGTGAGTTCCTTGCACGTGGAAGAAATTCAGCATTGCCTAGGAAAATTCAATATTGCCTAGGAAATGCTTTTTGCATTGCACACCAGCTCCCCAGGTTTGGGTGCTCACCCCATTTCAGGGGGTCACTGAGACTCAGCTGCTGGCCTTTCCTGCTTGGCTTTCCACCAGCCCCAGGAGCCTGATTCTGTGGCTGCACTTAGGTGTTGGGGTGCTGTGCTGAAGCAGAATGAAACCTGCCCGGTTTCAATATTAGCTTGTTTTTATTAAGCTGAGTGTTTTGTTAGGTAGCTTGGGGTGGTGAGAGAAATGTGTTAAACTAGAAGTTAATTAGTAAGGGAAGACTGTGATTTATCAAGACTGAATGAAAGCAAGGGTATTGCTATTTAATTAGGCAATGTGTTTGGATTTTTTGATTTATTTTCCTTTTGATTTAATTCAAAATATTACAATAAATAATTTGTATATAATGAAAGAAGAATAGATTAAGGATAGGAAGCTGAAAAGACAATTAAAAAGCTCTATCACTTTATTTAGCTGTTAAACACATGCTATTGATCCAATAAGAGATTTTGTTGCCGTTGTCTGTTCTCATTTTGTACTTAAACTGTAGCTGAAAAGGGACTTTAACTGACAGAGTCCTCATTTGTGTTACCAGGAAGGCCTGAGCTCATGGAGCTGTCGAACCAGAACGTGCCTGTTTGCTGCTGCTTCTGCTTCCCTGTTCTGAGACCTACCCAGCAAGTAAGAGGGGCTCCAGGTGCTTTGAGGAGCTGTTTGTGTCAGCTCTGTGCACACAGTGCTTCTGTGTTCTACTGTGGGCTGCTTTCTTCTTCATTTTCCTTAATTTAAGGTAAGTCATTGTGGATTGACACTTCACAGTTACTGTCCTTTATGAAAAACTGTATTGTTTTCCATCCAGGGTGGGCCTAGCCCCACCAATGTCTGCTCATGCAGCCTGTGAGGGACTCGGACACTGATGTTGAGTCCCGCAGAGCAGGGTGTTGTCTTGCCAAGTGCATTGAGTAAGCTACAGAAAGCCCTCTCCCACGAGTGTTACAGCCTGCATAGCTTGCTCAATCCGTCCGTCCACCCGCTTCCAGCCAGAGCCACAGAGCTCACCCCGCGTGGGGCAAGAGTCTATTTGTGTAGGGACCGACACCGAGTCATTTTGCATAGCTGCTCGGGGTGGCACCCAAACCTGCGGTATTTGTCTTGCAAACAACTCGAGTTGTTTTATCGAACCTGGTTGTGCATTCAGCTTGCATGCCACAGTGAGGAGCTCATAAAAATCATCACTGGAGCCTCCGGCAGCAGCTCCCGCTGCCCTTGCGGAGCGCGATTGCTGTGCGTGGGGAGCCCCCTGCTGCGCAGCGCGCCCTCGGGCTGCACAAGAAGCAGGGCTGGGCAGGTGGACGCGGTGGATCTGCAGCTTTTTAATCATGGATTTTAGACAGGCGTCTACAGCTGCCTTGCTTGGCACTGTGCAGCAAGCTCTGTATCTCTGTACAGCTCCCTTTAGCCTCCTGTAAATGGTGATAATGGCACTTCCCTGTCTCCCGAGACCACTGCAAGTAAATGCATTTGGCTGGGGTAGCCCTGGGACCACAGAAGCTTTCTGCTAGTGCTCCAGTGTAATTTGCTCTTGGAGTTGTCAGTTGTGCAACTGTGGCATTTTCTACCCCCAAAAAAACTATATTGCAACTGCTCTGCTTGTGCACACTGCTGTAGGAATTGCACATGCTGGCAATTGAGCATACCCAGCTCAGAAAGAAGTTTCTGGAGCTTCTGTGTTCCCCATGTTGGTGTCTTCAATATAAAAATCCCCATTTGTAGTGCTTAGTGAGCTGTCAGAGTTGAGGTCTGCAGGATTGAACAGTTTTGTGACAGCTGCAGGATAGCACTTCAGTTTCCACGGAAACTGGCACTGGCTCTCCAAAATCAAGGTGAAGTGTTGGCTGATTATCTAATAATAATGCTGAGCATTTAAATATGATTTTTTTCACCCTCCTCTTGCTGAAACAATTGCTGTTCCTACAGCATCCAGCAAATGCTATAGAGGTCTTGTGAATTCAAAATGTTGCCACAGCTTGGGCTGCATAATCTGCTTTCCAGAAAGACAGATTTCAGCCTTGATCTGGTTGGCCACTGAACCTTATGCTCTGCTGTTAAGATGAAGGGCTAATTGGGCCCCACATCTACTGCACCAGTGTATATGAGACAAATTAGAGAAGTACGGCATTTTTTTATTTTTATTTTTTAACTTTTACCATACATATTCATACTATGCCTTTCTGGGACATTTTTGTCCTCAGATGTATTTCCTTGACAATAATTCTCAGTTGCATAAACTTCTTATCTGCTTCCACTCTTGCTTATCACCTGAATTTAATTGCTCCTTGGCTTTGTACTCGCTGGACTCTTGTTTTGTATCAGTGAGTTTCATCGTTTTGCTGAACATTCCTTCTTCCAGGTCATTGATTTCTAAGGTTAACAAAATGAATCCTCCTGCTGATCCTCGTTACGTTCCACTAATCTCCTTGCTATATCCTGAACCGCTCAATTACCTTTTGTCTTCAGTTTCAGAGGCATTTATTGAACCCACAGATCAGTCTTTTGTGCAGGAAACAGTTTAACTTTAGATTCAGGAACATGTTCATGAGAATATTTCTTACACCTCAATTTGTTAAGGCTGTTTAAATTTTCTTGGCTAATTTGCTTCTTGACATGCCCTTTTATGTGTACTTTTTCCACTGCTTCTTTTTTTGCAAGAGATGTCTTTCTTTCTAACCTCTATTCTTTTCTGTCTGCTCTCCAGTAATATCTTCTACTATTTGGTAGTGTTGACTTTCTGCCTTGCAGCCCTTTATCTTTTCTGCTCTTCTGAATAGTTTGACTCCTTTGCCATCCTTTGGTCATTTTAGGAAACCAATGTTCTTCTGAAGGGCATTTGCTCTGTTTTCTTCCATAAGAAATTGAAGATTTTCTTAGGCCTGTACTTTACCTGCCACATCGCTAACTCATGTCCCTTGGTTTTTGACTGAGAGTGGGATGGTGGGAGATTTGGCACAATCAGCCATAACTCAGACATAATGGGGAGAGCACATAGACACAGAAACCCCAAAGTGATGTGTGTAGCCTAATACCACATGAGACCCTTTGCATAAGTTAGGTATGAATGGTAAATTGGGCAGAGCATGTGCCTTTGGGTATCCTCATCCTCCATCCAAAGTTACCACCATTTCAGGTACCTACAACTGGCACTCTTTGCTGTCTCATAGTGCCTTTCTGGGAGTGAAATATGGAGGAGGAAGGACTTCTTCTAGACTCTTTAGGGTGCCAAGGGGTTGTTTCCAGGTGTATTATCCCAGGAAGTGTCACACATCTGTCCCAAACTTAAAAAAAAAAAAAAAAAAAGGCCCAAACTAGTGCAGAGAGCCACTGTGCAGTCTGTCTAGCGCCACTGTCACTCCGAGTTGTGTTTTTCATATTGGAAATCTGGTATTTCCAGTGTCCAAGGACCGTGTAGCCATTTACAGAACACACTGATGTCCCGGAACAAGTCACGTACCTTTGGCAATGGCTCAGGTGGCTGCTATCTCAGGAATAAGCAATAAAACTGAAGCTCCTAAGAACAATAGCTTCTTTGCTAGCCTAAGGAGAGGCACATTCTTAACAATGACTGAATATGACTGAAGATAAGAGCTTGACACTGGTGCACTGAGAAGGAACACAAAGGACACCACTCCTAATCAACAAGTTCACTTATAAATACATCTTCTCGTATAAAGCCAAAATAAGCTCTGCCCTGGAAAGAACTTTTTTTGACAAAACCTTGGATTTACTGGATCAGTTATTTTAGATAATCCATTTTGCATGTGTTAATTATCAAAGCCCTTCAGAGGTTATATAATTCTATTCACAGACGAACTGAGACTCTGGCCTTCTCTAAGGAAATGCAGAAGTTGGATGCGTGAAATAAAAACCCTGAAATCTAATGGTAAATCCCCTCCCATTCAGTGCACCTGAGAAATTATGGCATACATGAAAAACCCCAAGTCCACAATACCCATAGGCTTTAACTCAGAGGTAGGGAAAATGTAAGTGTCATGTTTAAGAAAAGAAATGGCCCCAAATGCAGTTCTGCATGAAAGCCTCCAGGGTACTCTGAAATACTTCATAGCAGGAGGCAAAAGCTGGCTGAGGAGGAAGCTGATCATGGAAGATAGTTTTTATCAGGCAAAAAGTTTAAACAGCCTTGAACATTGACTATAAATTGACTGTTTTGCTGAGCAGCTTTGAGCTACTGGTTATTGCATTTTTGAAAGTGGAGCTTTGGTGACTAGCTGGATAGTAACGTAAGGAAGAAAAGAAGAACGAATGTTCTGAAAAAAACGCTAAACAGATTGGAGTGGTGCACTACTGCATGCAAGTCCTGGAGATGGGGAGGCTTTCACGGCAGGTGCTGCCATTCCCCAGGAGCCCTGTGAGCAGCTAGCTCTCCATGAGCAGGTCAGCAGCCACTGCAGTCCCACAGCATCTCGTTAACTTAGAAAAGGACTCCTTCAAGACGGAGGAAAAAACACAACATAATTAGAGATCCTGCTTCATTGGAAGCACCTAGACTAAACCCTTTCCCAACCTGGACAAGTCGGTTCCCTTTTAGAACAAATGTATATTCAGCAGCCTTTTGGATAACTTGCATTTCCAGTAATATTTTTTATGGCATAAGAAAGAGAGGTATGTTTGTTTTAAGCATTATCTTATTTGAAATAGACAGCAAAAGGAACAGAGAAATTATAAGAGGTAGTGAGTTTAGCAAACCTGCACATAAAATATTTTTTTCATAAGAATAAAATGCTTTTACAGCTGTAAATGTATACACCCGTATAATTTAAAAATACAAAGCTATTTTTACTGTGTTTCAGGCTCTTTGTTTTTTGGATCACACAATGAAACTCTCAAGTGCTGGACTTAGCAAAGTGGTTAACCTCATCACATTGGCAAAAATAAATCATTCATGCAGCACTGGGCTTGTAACTCACCGTAAGTGAGAAAGTTAAACTTGGAGTTAGTGTAACCAAAGTGCAATTGTGTTCTTCACACTGTGTACATTTTGACTGGCTTGTAAAAAGAAAGTAGAAGTTCATGACTCTCCCTGGCAGTTTCTTGAGGTGACTGAAGAAAACATGATCTGCAACATATTTGGCAACAGCCTGGCTCCGAATGAGAAGACAGGTTTTTATCGGACAGTGGAGAAAAGTCGAAATCAGCTACCTGGAAAAGGAACATTGAAGAGAGCACTTTTAATTCCAGTCTTACCTGTTCAACTAAGACAAGCGAGAATAGTTTGGGCCAGAAGTAGTACCTGGTCCTCAACCAGTTTCATTCAGCAACCAACTTTAAATAGATTTCTGACTTTTACCAGCTGGACACGTGGCTTGCAGCAGTCCCCCTAGAGGTGTATCATGCATAGTGCTACATAATGTAAAATGTATTAAGTATTTTCCAAAGGGCCAGGAAAGCTATCTTTAATTTAGAAGCTCATGTTTATTATAAATATGATAATGTAACAAGCTATACCAGGGAGATGGAAGGGCACTGGGGAGATGAAGGTCACATCTAATGTTGGGTCCCCATTTAGTGCCTCTTCAAGGTAACACACCCAACCTTTCTTGTTAGCCCCTCTCTGTTTTCTTCTATGGAACCACTCAATAGATCCTCTGGAAGGCATACTTCAGTGCAAGCGGGTGCTTGGGATCGTTAACTACCCATAACAGCCCTGGTAGCTTGAATTATGTTTTTATTTCTCTCTAAGACAGAAGCATGCCTGTTGCTTAAAATGTTTGCCAAGTCAGACAGATACCTGGGAAATGCTCCCTCCCTGCTCCGTTTGCTTGGGGATGAAAGAAGGGGCATGGCTGAGAGGTATCTAATTACTATCTCAGCTCAAAGTAAGAGTAACCAAGTACCTCCACGAGGTCTTTCTGTTGTGTGTTACTTCGAAAGGTCGTGTACAGCACCAGTCCTACCATCACTGAAACCAGAGCGACGCAGAGCAGGACAAAGAAAGCTGGCTGGAGCCCTGGGAAAGAGCACAAGGGGACATTCCTGGAGTGATACAATACACTGAGAAGAGGTAACAGTGAGAAGAAATAGATGTTTTAGAAGAACTTTTCACTTTCTTAGAACAAAGGCCATGGGTGCATCAGGGAACAGATTTTTCAGCCCAGCTCACTTCAGGTCTTTCTGAAGTCACAGAAGTAGGAATACAGGATTGTAAGGGTCATTCTTTTTATTTTTCCCTGCTTTCTTTTTGTTCAAACTGCTTAAAAAAACAAACAAACACCTGAGCTAGATATGTTAGCCCTAACTGTCAAGGGTGTCTGAACCTCTGTGATACCCCAAGTGGATAGGAAGGAACCTTGATCAGCATCATTTTCACAATAACTGGCAGCCTCCAGCAAAAAGAATTTTTGCCTCTTAGCCCTGAGTGCACACCAGTGCCTTCTGGTGTCAGCTGCCCTGTATTTACAGAAGTGCTGGCCCATGGTAGGATGGCAGAACTGTTACATTATCACAGTCCTGCTGTCACCTTGTCAGGTCCTCTTCATTTGGCTACCTAACCACTTTCTCATCTGAGTCAGGGACCCCATATGGGGGCAAGCAGGCACGGGGAAGCCAGCAGAGACTGCTGGTAGGGGGAACAGAAACATGGAATGAAATGGAGTTGTAGAAAAATCTACCCTTAACAACAACAACAAAAATACTAAAAGAAGAATTGAGACTGCATATTAAAACAGTGGTACAGATGCATATGTTTTCCCAGTTATCCTAACTACAAGAGCAAGAGACTATTTAAACTGAAAAATATGTAATTTAAGTAACTCAGTCTTCCCAGGGAACTCGTTAGCTTCAAGATGCTCTTGAGACTAAGGGTTCAGCAGGATACAAGAAGCTCAGAGCAATTACAGTAGGCACATTATAGGGTTTCCTTTCTCTTCATGTTTCCAATGCTTTTGGGGATCCATACTAGTTTCCAGAAACCTCATCTGCAGGCCAGTTAATCCCTGATGTGTTAGAGACTGTCAGATTCCCAGACAATTGGGAATCTGTGCCGCTCAAGCTGGCTGCAGCTCACCTGTTGGCCACACTTTTATTTCATGGTAGGTCTGCAGCATCGTCACGCCATTCTCTACTCGGACGCTGAGGCAATACTGCCCAGCATCGCTGAAGGTATGGCTGAGATTGTAGCAGGAGCCATTAATCACCACCAGATGGCATTTTTCACCTTCCAGTGGAATGCACTCAGACTTTATAAGCCAGCATAACGACAGCGGTGGGCTGAAATGACATAAAAAGAAATTAAAAGCTGCAAAATTTCCAGTTAGGAGCTGATGAATCACTTGGATAAAATAGATTAACTTCATTATTTTCAAAGCTGTTATGCTAACTACAAATAGAGAAGTAATTAACAACACAATCGCTTGGTTCATAGCATTTGTCAATTGAAAAAGGTCTTTGTGGTGCTTCTGCAAACAACAAGCCTTTCAGCTGAGAGCTAGATACCTGTGTGGGTCATAGGCAGGCCACTGTGTAGAAAAACCCACAGTCCTGCTCCAACAGAGACAAAAGCAATCTTCTTCCCCTTCTAAGGGAGTATAGGTTGGTTTTCTTTGTTCTTTTCACAGTGGGGATCACTGTTTGTGCTACTGAAGTACTGAAGTACACCCAAGACTTCTGATTTACCAAAACAAAACAAAAAAGTGTAAGCTGAGTACAACAGACTAAGTCAGGAAAGTTAAATAGATTACAAGGACTATGTTATTCCCTTACAATAACAAAAAGCTTTTTAGTTGCTATCAAATGATCTAGGTGCAGTCTACTTTATGGCTGTATGTCTTCTCACTGTGTCTAGCTGATGCTGTTTATTTACATTTTCAGATCCTTGCTCCAACTGATTCTGCCTGGACTCTCCTTACACACTATGGACTTTGATTCAGACAACAGAACTTTTCTTTACCGCATTAGCATTTTGTTGCTTATCTGCTCAGGATATTCTCTGCTAAAGAAAGCAGCATGGTTCTGTGTTTAGCTCATTTTCTAGCTTTGTTTCTGATCACGTCTCTCAAACCTTTGTTACTGGTTTTCTGTCACCAACTCCTATCACAGCAGTCCCACCCCACTGCTAGAGGTTAGATCTGGCAAGCATTGCCCATCCTAGAGCCAAGCCCACTTTTAGGGATCTCAGGTTTGCCTGTAATGGTTTTTAGCTATTCATATTTACTTGTATGCTATCGCCAGCTTCCAGTCCTGTCAATGTGCCGTTCACTTTGTGAATGCAAGCTGTGCTGCTTTGTGTATCAGTACTATTTATGTCTTTGGCAAATGACTGCACTGGGTGCTGCTCCCTCTGTCCTACATCCCTCCTAACAGCCCTGCTCTTTTTAGGTTTGTTTTTGGAAATCCACCATTAGGGCAAACAGCTCCCTAAAGCAGAACAAATAAGGGTCACTCTTCTGGAGAATAACCTCCCCCACCCCCGAAGGAGCTTTTCTGAGTGCTTCAATGGTATTTGAAATGTTTCTGCTATATGAAAAACTCCCTCACGTTCTAAATAGTGCAGCTTGAGAGAGCTCTTGCTAGAATCAGGGTGCTCGTGGCTCTCCTGCATCCCTACAGAAGTAAATGATTAGTTCCCCAAGTTGGTCTTTTCCCACTGTGTCACATTCACACTGCGACATTTCTCTTCTCCCTATACAGGAAAAGTTTTGTTGTTTTTTGTTTGTTTGTTTAAAAAAAAACTTCCCTTACTGCTTTGAGCCTCTCTGTCTCATTCATCTTGTGGCAACCTTTACTTTGCCAAACTTATTCCCCAAACCCATCACTCCCAAGTGCCAAAAACTGCTGCTATTCAACAGGACTCTGAATACAGTTTAATTTAGCGTTGGGGAAATTGGTCAAGGAGAAAAATTCAAAAGGGAAATTTAAAATGTTGTTTTTTTCCACTATCTTTCTCTGTCTCATTCTCTTTTAACGTTCTGTTTACAACGATGTAAAGATCCTCATTTACCTATGAGGATTTGCTGAGGAGGTGTACATTTTAACGTTCTACTTCTCTGTAAAGCTGTGGGCTCTGTCAGGCTCTTAGAGTTCACAGTACTTTAAGTCAAGGAAAAGCAATATTCAACAGTATTTTCTTCAAAGGAAACTTTTTTTTTTTTTTAAATAGTTCTGTGGGGTGCAACTGACTTTTAAGGAAACAGTGGAGGAAAAAAAAACTTAGATAATGTGTTCTGGGGAAAGAAGTGTTTGTTACTTACGTGCCATTGATATGAAGAGATAAACTCAAGTTTTCCATTACATGAGTCTCTCTGGAGCCCACTACATTAATGCCTTTAACAGCATCTGAGAGGAAGAAAGAAAGCACATCACACTTGACATGTAAACTTGAAATTCACTGGAATTCCATGGATGCTTTGATTTCACAGACTATGCAGATTTTAGCTGCATCATGTACACAAATAATAATACCTCCATCACACCCAAAATATAAACCTGTCAGTAGAGTTGTTGTAAGTTTTCTGAATGTTTTGTGATTTATTTTTTTAGGCTATAATTAACTACTTCATTAATCCTTTATTTATTTTTTTAATATGAGTTCATTTACTCCTAAAGCTGATCAAATCAATGAAACTTTCCTAATGCTAGTTTTAGCTAATTTATTTTTTAGGGATAGTCAGCATAAATTGAACAAATCCTCCATAAATTATTATAAACAAATTATTTTAAGTTCTAGTTGTATGCAAGACAGTAACAGAAGACCGCGAAACTTTTGATAAATTAAGAAGAAACAGATTTTATATTTTTTGTGAACTAGAACAGCACAAAGTCTGTTTCACAATGAAAACTCTTAATATCGAAAACCAACGCCCAAGCTGTATCACATTACAAACCCACCACCTAGATTGTATCATTACATATACAGTAAATCCTGTTTTGAATAAAATGTTTTATTTTTACCTAACAGCTCCAAAGAAGTGGTAAAATCACCAGTTTTCTGCATAGTTTCTTTTTCATGTATGATGCTTCCAATTTGCTCCCATTCAGCTATGACTTTCAGATGTACTGTGCGATTCCCCATGGTGGAGTAGTTGCAGTAGACAAAGGGTTCCTTGGTAATCTGATAAACTCTGCGTGCAGCGTGAAAAGATACAGAATCAAAATTGTTTTTTATCAAGTACTTGCACATTTCTTATTTAAGTTTAAATGCAGTAAGTGTTAAATTATTTTCTTTAATAGCCACTGCTACATTCAGCTGTGATTCTAATTCTCCTTTATGATCATGGATTAATTCTCCTTTATGAGGATTAACACCTGTGGCATTACATTGGCGTAAAACTGATAAAACCACATCAGTATCAGACCCACAGTGTATTTACACACTTTTAATCAATAAAATTAAGGATAGTGCTAAAGGAATTCACAGAATGGAATACAAATAGTGAAACATGAAAGCTACCTTTATAACAGGTGGACTGTAGGCTAACTGAGACACTAAGAGGAAAAGATAAAGATTTTAAAAATAAAGAAAGGAAGAAAGAAAAAAATGTAGTATTCAAAAATTAAATCTTACATTTCTGTTTGCATACTCATTTGCATTGGACATACATTTGTACTCAAAAGGAAGAATATAACTGAACATAGCTCTTCCTCCCTACTGTAAAGTGGCTTACGGGTGTACCAATGGGTAAAGGTACATGTTTTGTCCTATAATTTAATCAGGATCTCTCTCTAGATGAGCAGCTGAATAAGAGGCATTTTGAATAGTCATTAAAGCAAGCAAAGTAACCACACCTACCCATCTCCAAAATCCCAGTTGTAGACAAATCTTGCTGACTTGAAGTAGTCACTTGGATCATGAAGACAGAAAGAAATCCGAGTCACAGCACCTGTGGAGGAGCTAGAACCATGCCTGATGAATCTACTGTCTTCTATCTGCGCGATGGTAAGATTCCCTGTGATAAATTCTGCAGAAAAATAAGGCAGACAAAGAATGTCAGTGTATATAATTTTCATAGTATGCTCTATGTGACTGTCAAAATGATATTTGAAATACATCGCATAGGTTTTTCTGTGCCCCAGTCCAGACAAGTAAGTATATTTTGAATGTGTTAGTCTGCTGGGAGGTTAACTGACTTCATCAAGGTTATACAAAGGGTCAATATGAAGCTTCTAGTAGGACTGAGAGGAAGAATCCTGGACTGATTGAGATCAATAACAATGTTTACTATTGATTTTAAAAGAACTGGGATTAATGTCAAGTGTTTAGAAAAAGGGATTCAGAATCAAGCTGTTTTGTGTATGCGCTTCCTTCATGTTCATTTTGAGTATGTGTATCCTTCATTGGTTTTGTTTGTTCTTAAAGTTTTAGTTACTTTCCCATGAATTAAATTTTTATTACTGTGAACTACAGGTGCGCTACACATTGTGCATATAGAAAGGATAAAATTTAGATTTTCATGTCTGCCAGATATCCTATACCTATGTTTGTTTCCAAGGACTAGCAAAAGTTGATTAAAAAACAAAACCAAACCCTTTCTACCTATGAATAAAGAGGTATCATGATGATATACTTAATCAGATTATAAAGTTAATGACATATTAATTACTAGTAACAGACTCTTACCCTGTTAAAATTAATTAAAACTGGTTAACTGTTCTCCAGTTGATGTGCAAATAAAAATAGGGCTGATAATGCAGAACTCACTGGAGTTGTAATTTATATTAATTATTGGCAACCTCCTTGGGCATTTGTGGGTGCTTTTGTTCAGGGAAGGCAAAAAGGTAAAATGGGATCTTACCTTCCATAGCTATAGAAAGCTTCTATCCCTTTTGCTTAAGGCATGAGAACGTAAGTGTAAAGAGGGAAAGGAATAAGTAAATGTTCAGCAAGACAGCAATTCTGAAGCAAGAAAAGATGCCATGTATCCTTTTAAAAAGGCTTATCCATTGAGCTCGGTGTTTCTCAAAGGAAAATCTCAATAGCTATTCCCCAAAACTTCAGCTGTGCCCTACGGTTAGCTCTTTTGTCCTCACACATCCTTATCTTCAGCTGGCAGCTGGGTCTATTTTGGAGGGTCTAAGTAGAGCAGTAGGACATGTGGTTGAAGGGACATGGTTGCTAGTCCCTGAATGAAGAGGTGGTAGGAAGCATTCAGGTGATATTTCATGTCAGTCCCTGCATCAGAGATTAGGCTAACCATGCTGCATCATTGGAAAACCATCTTTCAGTAAAAGGCCACACAAATCAAACCCTGTTGGAAGAAGCCACATTTATGTCTGACTTTGCTTTTTTTGATGCTAGCAAAGGCAGTGGCAATTCTGATGTGTACTGAATCCCTGAAGATGTGGAAGTTGTAAAGCTCTTTTACCTGTGATCTGAAGCACAGTGACATTTCTAGCAACTGGCCGACATAACCAACAGTTTCTGTGAGTGACCCACACAGACACAGGAAAAGTCCCAGGAAATTCACCAGTCACATTAATCATGGAATTCAACTGCCGCTCGGATTTCTCTATCAGAATCAGAGGAGCATAAATCCAGTTAAAGTGATACAAGTTTGACGCAAGGCTGTTGTTCTTAATCCTTAGAGTGGCGTGAACAGTGGCTTGAGCTCCCGTTGTGATGGGACCATTGTTGGTTATTTCCAGATCATACTCCTCTGTGGAAATGAGGAGGGAAAAACAAAACAAAACTTGTTGTAAATAAATAAGTAACATGCAATACACATTTTAATTAGCCAGCTGTAGGTACGTGACTCACAACAGCATTATTCTAAAACTTTACTTTTTTTTTTTTTTTTTGCCATTCAACAACCTGGAACAGAAACAGTTGCACATATATATGCACATTTAAATGTTAAACAAACTGTTAGAATGAGTCCTAGAAGTGTCAATAGCAGAAAGGAGTCTTGGATTAGATCACCAAAACTTTGATGAGGTTTTTTATGGGCAGAGCTGGGCTCTGGCTGAAGGTGCAGTAATGATCCTAACAACGCAGTCACTGAACTTCCAGTTATTGAAAGAAGGCCAGGCTCAGCTCTAATCCTGGTTGTTCCAATTAATTTCTAATTAAACACAACTGTCACAAGCACAAATGCAGGTGAAGGTGAAAGCAGAACTTTTCAATAATGTCCCTTTCACATCTTTTTGATTTCTGCAGCGTTAGTGAGGAGCAGAGTAAGGAAGTCAAAGGTGAGGACGCAGAAGAGTCCTGTGCAGCTACAGAAAACAAAAGTTAGCAGCTAGCCTTAAGAAATCTCTCACTCAGCAAAACTTTGAAAAACATGAACTTTCAAATCCAGGTAAGATTTCATCCCACAGTTTCCTTCTGCCTGCTCTATTGACCCACAGGTCTCCTCCCACCTTACTCCTAAGGAATGGAAAAACCTCAGGACCAGTTGCTTCTCTATGATCCACCACTGATTTCCCCATCTAGGAAAGGGCCAAAAATCCCAATGTAAACAAAACTTGAGTATTGAAAGCTGTAAGTGCTAAAAAATAAATTTTCTCACTTCTTGATTTCCCAGACTGGAAGCAGCAAGGCACAGAACCCGTGATGCTGACCCACCCTGCTGCTCTGAATCGCTCACCCTCACCTTCCCTGCTGGGTTACCCAAGGCACTTCAGCTCTTACAGGTACTGCAGTGGGCAGAAGCAGGTGAGCTTTGGCGTGTGGAAAGGATACATTCAGTTTTCACATGTATCCCCAGGTCTCAGCACTGGGAAAGCATTTTTGTACTTCTGTGGGTTAAAAAGTAGCAGTGCAACAAGATTAAATGACCTGCATGTGTTAAAGCAAAATAAAACACTGCAAGCTGTGAGTTATGGCTGAGCTGGGGACAGGATGCGGTGGTTTGCCCCTGTTCCCAAGCCTGTGTCCCTGCTCTGCCTGCCTCTCTTGTGGTGAGCAAGGGGGCAATGCTGGGCAGAGCAATGCAGCTTTGGGGCTGGGGTTCCTGCCCCTCACCTTCAGCAGCTATGACATTGCTCACAGAGGACTGGAGCTTCGAGCTCCATTAGTTGGACTTTTTCACCCATTGCCCGTAATGCATTTTTGTTTGTGTTTGTTTTTTCTTCTTTTTAGGCAGGGGGGAGCACTGAGGTCAGCTAACCCCTGTATTGAACTTCCTGCACCAGTCTGGATGGGGTGGTATGAAAAGAAACCCAAAGCATCCCATTAGCATCCTCATTTCATTCCACAGATCACAGGTGCTGGACAAATCTGGAAAAGAACTGTGGAAAGTAATTTTCACATTAATGTCCAAACGAGAAGTCCTCTGTTCCCATTTCACAACACAGGGAACTGCCCTGAGTTCAGGGTTTTTTGAGTTCACAGAGAAACATGTGCGATTTGATGAAATCCAGTGCTGAGACATTTCAGGTCTCTAGAAGATTCAGGCTACCTTCCACTTCATCTCAGCAATACTTGGGGAAAAAAAAAAAAAAAAAGAGTCAGCTGCCTCATGCTTATCTGGCACTTGTCCTTGGAGGCTGTTATCACGGTACTTCGCCAGCCAGGGCCACCCTGAAGCCCAGTGACTGCAGCAGCCGGAGATTAAGCGGCTAACCCAAGGTCACCCAGTGGAGCAAGGCATCACCTCGTCCTCTGCTGGGCTTCCTTCTACCTTTTTCCCCCTCTAGTAAGAGGCTGCGCGGGTGCCAGCACAGGGAGCAGGAATAATTTTAGAGCTTTTAGCTCAGGCAGCGCACCCCTCAGCCCCCCTCAGCTCCCTCAGCCCGGGCTGCCCCAGCATCTCCACAAGCACCGGGGCGGCAGCGCCTGAGGAGGCGCCATCCCCCGCCGGTCTCTGCCGCCGGCCCCACAGCCTCACGCCCCCGAACCCCTCCCGGTTCCTCTCGGTAGCGGCGGCCCCTTACCTGCCGCCGGGACGGCTCTGCCCAGCACCGCCACCCCCAGCACCAGCAGGATGGGGCCGCTCAGCCGCAACATGCTCGGGGGCCGTGGGGCTGGGGGCTCGCTGCGCTGTGGGGCCCGAGGCTGCCGGCGGTGCTGCGGCACCTCCGCCTGGCTGTGTGTCTGTCTGGCCGTGTGTCTGTCTGTGTGTCTGTCCGCTCCCCCCGCAGCCTCCTCCGGGGGCAGTTCCTGCGGCGGGGCGGGATGTTAACAAGCAGGGCTGGGAGGCATCAAACGCCCCCCGCCTGTGGAGGAGGTGGGCTGGGGGGGGGGGGGGAAGGGGGGAAGAGCGTGTGTTTGGCTTGGGGGCTGACAGTGGATTAATTATTAATTAACGGTAAATCGCTCCTCAGAGCCAGCAGAGCCCCCGAAGCTCTGACACCTGGCTGAAATGTTTTGACGTGACTCTGCTCCCCCCGGGCTGCTTCACCCCCACAGCCTCCTCAGCCCCCCGGGGGGCAGCTCCTCGCCCTGAGGGCCGAGGGGCAGCGCCGCGTCCCCCCCCGCAGGCTGAGGGGTCGGGCCCGGAGGCCAGCCCTTCCCGCGGGCCCTCCCCGCTCCGCCCCAGGCCGGGGGAGGCTGTGAGGGAGGCGGGCAGCGGGAGGAGGCGGCCGGAACTGGGCCCGGAGCTTCCGCTGCGCCCGTGCTCTGCCGCCGGCCTCCGGCAGCAACAAAGGAGGCGGCGGGGGCCGGGGTGAGGAGAGCCGGGGGCGGCAGGGCCGCGGCGGGGCCCCGGGGCCGGCGGGGGGCTGCAGGGGAGCGGCGGGAGGTGAGGCCCGGAGCGGCGCGGTCGGTGGGGCGGGCCCCGAGCGGCGCGGGGAGGAGGAGGAGAAGGAGGAGGAGGAAGGGGCCGGATCCCCGGCAGCACCGCGCGCGGAGGCCTCGGGTGGGAGCCGTGAGGGTTTGGGGCCTTGCGGGCATCACTCCTCGCGGGGTGCCCCTGGTGGGGATGGGGCGGCCGGCCCTGAGGTGGGGAGCGTGAAGGGGGGGCTCCAGGGGGTGGGGGCGCCCTGAGGTGCTGCGGAGGGGGCTCGGCTGCCGTGGGGTGGGCGGGGGAGCTGCCAGGGGGTGCTGAGGTGGGTGGGGGTGTCCGGCCTCTCGAGTGAAATTTGCTTTCAGGTTCCCTCACCAGCGAGAAAGGCAGCTGGAGATGGCGGGGCGACTTTTGGCGCCTGTGGAAGCGAGTCCTGCTGAGGTGCGTCCCAAGGGTGGCTGCGGGTTTGGGATGCGGCCGGGTCAGGAGGTGAGGGGACAGGTGTGCTGGGAGCACCCAGGGGCCTGCTGCTGCTCTCAGGAGCAGCAAAATGCATTGGCGTTTCAGCAGATGCCAAGAACCAAGTAACCTTAGCTCCTCAAAAGTACCTGCCTGTGATCTCGAGTGCTGTAAGTGGTAGGCATTGCATTTATGAACCTGAAGAGATGTCAGCTGTGGCTTTTGGAAAAAGATGCGTCCACTTTGACGCATCAAAAGAAGAGGTTTAGGTAATAATAGCTGCTATTAAACAGCCATATAAACTAACAAATATATGTATTTGTAGGTGTTTTGATCTTGATTTTATGTGCTGGGAGCTGCTCCCCCCCCTCCTCCAAGATGGCATTTGTTTCAGCACAAGGGCCTACAGTGGTGGACCAAACCACTTTGATGAAAAAATACCTTCAGTTTGTGGCTGCTCTCACAGATGTCAATACACGTAAGATTTCTTTTGTAATGCAAGTTATAGTTCTTTGGTAGTTTGTTTCATAAGCATCATGGCATTGTTTACACACTTGATAAAAGTGTGCTGAATTCAGTTTAAGTGTTGTTAAAACTTTGATTTTTGAAGAAGCAAAATGATGAGCAATATTTGCTTGAGTCAAGGAGCGAGTGAGTTGTGTGTATGGATGGGTGTATGAGGGGGGTGTTCGTGAGAATTGTGTGCCTTATAATTTGGCGGTGATAGCTAAACTGATAAGATCTGACTGCTTCTTTCATCAACAAACCTGGTGTTTTATTTCATTATTTAGCTTATGCTTAACTTTTTTTGCTTGAATTTCCATTTTCAGCCGATGAAACTAAATTGAAAATGATGCAAGAAGTCAGCGAAAATTTTGAGGTAATTAAAAACAAAAAACCCTTCCAGAATGTCAGTGCTTCTTGTCGGTGTGTCACTTTGATTTCTGATGTTATATGGTTAAAAGATCATGTATCTTGAGACTTAAGATTTATATTATATGTCGCGTATGTTACAGATGTATTTAGTAACTATCCAGGTTATTGGAGAGCTACAGCATTTGAATTTAGAGAGCTTTTATTCTATAATCTTTATTCAATAACCATTTAATTAAAGGTGATATTTTTTTTTCTGTTTTGTTGTATGATCAGAAATCTCTGTATTTGAAATTTTATTTCATTTTGAACATTTATTTTATCCTCCTGAAGCAGAGGGTCCTCTGTGACTCCTCTGAATAATTCCATACTACCAGATGCAGTGTCTGACATCTGGAGTGGAGGTGATTCCAGTGACATCTTTTGCTTGGTGATAGACCATCAAGTTCAGATGAGCATCAGAAAAAAATCCAGAAATTAAACCAAAATAAAATTCTACTTTCATTGAATACTTAGTTACTAGTTGCCTATTCTGAAGTTGTAGAGAACTTGTTCTGTAGAACAAATAAATGCAAGATCTTAGAATAACTGTAATTCTCCCTGTATGTACGTTTTCAGTTATGTTGCTGCTTAAAAAAAAAAGCTATTTGAATAATGTACTCTGTCCTTACCTGCTTTATTTGACGTGATCTTGCTTAGTCTGTGGTAAGAACAGAGAAGTACCCATTCCAGTGCTGTGTAATGTCTTTAGATCTTTTTAAGTAAGCTTTATGCAAAGTTAAATCATGCCCGTGCTGGATGTGCAAAGCTGTGCAAATTTCAGTTGTTTATGAGTTATCAATGGAATTTCCCGTCCAGTGAATTGTTTTGTTCAGGTTAATGTAGTGGAATACAACTACAGCTAGTGTGACTGTATTATTAAAGCTAAAAATAAAATTAAAAGCCTTAATCCTTAGTATTTGGAAGTGAATAAGTAGACGTCTGTGACTGTTTTACATTATGTGCACAAGTTGAGCAGAGCTTAACACTTAACTGAAGTGACTAAAGGGACTAAAAACATCCTTGTGGCATTTTTGTATGTGTTTGTTTCATAGACGGCAGGTCAGCGTAATTAGATGCCTGAGTAAAATAATATTTTTCAACAGCTTAGTTTAGTGATGTGTTTAGAATCTGAAAGCTTAGTTGACTCTCCTTGCTCTTGTATTCATTAAGGAAGAACTTGTTCAATACTTGTTTTGATAATGTTTGAAATAGAGTAACTTTCTTCTCTTCGAACTTGCTTGATTTTGTAGTGTGATCCTACATAAAAAGATGATGAATTGACTTCTGTTGAAGTACAGTTCATGGAATCAAAGAATGGTTTGGGTTGGGAGGGATGTTAATGACCATCTGGTTCCAACCCCCTGCCATGGGCAGGGCCACCTCCCATCAGATCAGGTTGCCCAAAGCCCCATCCAGCCTGGCCTTGAATACCTCCAGGGGTAGGGCATCCACAGCTTCTCTGGGTAGCCTGTTCCAGTGCCTTGCCACTTTCCGGGTGAAGAATTTCTTCCTTAAGTCTAATCTAAATCTACCCTTTTTTAGTTTAAAGCCATTCCCCCTTTTCCTGTCACTACACTCCCTGACAGAGTCCCTCCACAGCTTTCCTGTAGGCTGCCTTTAGGTGTTGGAGTCACTGTGAGGTCTCCCCAGAGCCTGCTGTTCTCCAGGCTGAACAACCTTTCTGTTTATCGGGAAATATTTAAGGGTGCAAGAGGAACCACTAACATTGGCTTTGTTTTTTTTCCTCTCCTCCCCATTTTTTAAACGTGAAGGGTATGGACACTATTGTTGCATGTCACGTTAGATGGTTTCCTTTAAACTTCTGTGTCCATAGTCTCCATGTCTATTCTTCCCTGTTTTCTAGTTCAGCTTCCAATAACTATAAATTTCAGCAGGTTTTGTTTTTCATTTCTTAGCTTTTTGCTTGGTGTCGCAGTGTTCAAGTCCTATTGGCTGTGTTATGAATCAGGATGTCTCTCTAGCTGGGGTAGAACTGAATGTGAATTGATGGAGGACTTCTTGAAGTGGGATTTTAAACTGAGATGCTTCACCATAGTGTTAACTGCTTGACACTGGCAGCTGTTGGGCTAGTTGTAAGGGTGTTGCTCTGGGATAATAGAGGATATTGTTCTTCTGAACCGGTTTCTGGATAAAAACATTTGATAATTTTGAACCTTGTTTGCCAGAAATGATTTGTTTGAGGGGAACTTCTCCACTGCTTCGCAGAGCTTCTGGATCCCAAATGGAGAAAGAAGAGTGTATTCACTCTCTTTCCAGTCTGTTCTGGAGGAAAAAAACCTTCCAGAATCAGCCTCCCTTGCTGCTGTTGTTGTTTTGTGCCAGCAGTAGAATTCTGAACTTGATTAGAATTGCGGGAGTTATAAGCTTCTTGTATAGTTTAGAGCAGAAATTCAGAGGTATCGAGAATGCTGCTAATTTTCTTCTTTCTGATGTTCAGTGAAGGTATTGGGAAGATATTTTCAGAAATATAAGCTGGTTTTATGAGTTTATGCTTTTCCTTGAATGGTTTGTGAACCACTTTCCTGGCATGTAGCAGGACTTGCATTATTTCTTGTTCCTCCAAAGTAGGAACATTCTTCTTAAAGCTGGGGAGGATAGGAGGGAGCTGTCAAAATTGGAGAGACTATAGGGGAGATAGGAGGAAAAGATGCAGCCAGACTTTCTTGGGAAGACCTTTGAGGTGAAGAGAAGATAAGGGCTGATCTGCTATTGACAACTGTCTTGCGTTTAAAATGTTTTTGTGCCATTCTTAGTATATCTTTCTACTTTCTTGAAAACCCTCCAGTTGAAAAAAAAAAAACCAAGACTTTCTTTGCACAGCATCTGGTGTAATACTGTGTACAATTGCACATCTTGAAATCTTACAGTAAGGAGAGAATAATAATGGAAACCTGTAAGAGCAGAAGGTTTTATATAGCTTTTACATTATACAAAAAATGATGTGAATAAAACCCTGAAATAACTGTACAGATTTTCAAAAGCAAGCTGTGTTGTTATCTCTACCTTTATTAAACAGACCAGTATGCTTCTGTATCTTAGATACTTCAGAGAGTTGCCTTACAGCACATATGTAAACTGCAGATGAGTTTGCAAATAAACCTCAAGATGTCCAAGTTAGATTTAAGGCAGCATTGCAGATGGAGGAAGCTTGTTCATCCAGTATTTCTTCTGACTTTCCAGCAAGTAAACAGTAGCGTAAGATCATTTTCACAATGGAAAGTAATGCTTAGTTTGGATGGTGTGTGTGTGTACACCTTGTCAGAAATAAGTAAAATCTCAGTTTAACAGTGTCTGAGAAGTCTTGGGAATCCTAGGGTGATGA